CACGAATCCCATTTGGGCAACGGCTTGCACGAGCTCGAAACTTCGCGAAATACATCCTTCGGGAAGCTAATGTTATATTCGGTTTTAGATCCACTTTTGTTGGGCCCTCACTTTACAACTCTATGCTTCATCAGTTATGAGCTTAAAAATTTGCTAAAGCTGCTGTATATCATCGCAAGACTACTAGGCATACTGCGCAACTTTACAATTTGAGAAGCCAATTTTGCTAGTGTTGCGAATATCGCAATTCACCAGGAAACTGAACTTTTTAACATAGTTCGCACTTGACGTCATCGCACTTTATGCTGGTGGTCACTGTGATTTGTTGTTGCTGAAAAAAAAATCAAATCGGGTGGTGCAAAATGCACGCTGCAGAAGGTCACGCTCAGTGCCACCCATGTATTTGAGAGGTATAAACTATGCTTGCTTGGTGCAACGTCGTGAGGAACGACGCACCATAAAAACTAACTTCTGACAGGAGTTTTTTTTTTGTTTTTTGTTTTGTGAACAAAGTAGTTTCCGGGGCCACGCTGTACCGAAGTTGTGGGGCAGAGAAATCTTTACCACACTGTATGTTTTTAAAACTATCCTCCCCCTCCCCCTTTTTTTTTCTCCTTTTTCATTGCTCCTCCAGAGAATACTTTTTATTCCTGGGGGGCTGCCTCCACCTATAGTTCGACAATTTCATTTGTGTCAGTTGTTAACAGTAATCACCCATTGTTTTTATTTGGCACCCAAACACTGTGAAGTTTAAACAAAATACGGAGGTGGTTGAGGGACAAAACATGGGTGTACCAAAGACTTCTTCAGAATTTTGTAGTGGTATATTAGGAGATCCCTGGAATATCAGCAGCGGGAAATATTTTCCCTAGGATGTACCTGGAATATAATTTTGGCCCACATTGGTATCTCCGTGGGTAATACCCCAAAATACCCACCAGAAACCGTCGGGTTCTCGTCAGTAACTCCTACGTTCAGTTCCGGGATATGCCCACCTGACCCCATGGTCTGTTGCCAATAGTAATGTGAAAACATTAACTGTCCCATGAAGCGAAGCCGGCGTTATCTGATGTCTGTAGCAGCGAAAAACGGCACATAAATACCGATTGGCAGAGACAAACGGCACCTAATTACCCATTAGCTGAGCGAAACGGCACCTAAATTCCCATTTTAGCTGAGCGAAACGGCACGTAAATTCCCATTGACTGAGTGAAACGGCACATAAATTCCCATTGGCTGCAAAGCAGACGCGCCTCAGAAAAAATAAAACAGAAAGAAAACCACAGCAACGCAAATCCGTCGTCACGGAAGCCGTGGAGCCGGCGGGGGTGCCGCGCCTGCGCAGCGGGGGAGTGTGATGTCACGGCCGGAGCACCATGGGAAAAAGGAAGACGTGGAGCGCTGCTTGTGGGAATCCGAACAAATTAAAAGAACACTGTAATTTTGTCAGGATAGCTAGCTGGGCTTGTTGGTGGCTCGACATATAAAAAAAAATCACAAAAAAGACGGGACACATATTAGAAGACAAACACAGCCTATGTCCTGTTTCTATCTTCTACTTTGTGTCCTGTCTTTTTTGCGTCTTTTTTAATATGTAATTTGATCAACCAATAACATTTTTCCATAGTTAGTTTCTATCTACCACGCTGGATATAACATATTTGCTGTTATAGTTTCGCATTCCATATAGGCTGGATCAGTGGAGAAAAATCTCCCAGGATTTGTACCACGAACATACTTTTGTGGGATCTCCCATGTATCGTTAGGATCTCCCAGAAGCTTCCCTTGCGGGATGTTTTGGGGTTCAGAGACCCAGGTATGTCCTCAGAACTCTAATTTCCCGGACGGAAGGAAGATTGGGATGTTCTGGGGATTTATTCACGACATTCTGTTCTGTCTGAGATCGTAGTATTAATACGTCGCATTTAGTCCTTTCAACGCATACATTCTTGAGGACAACTTTCTGAGGCAATTCAGCAACAACAAAAACATATTTGGGTTCCTCATCGACGTGTAAATGTAAAATTAGTCATGCAAACATTTCGTACTTTCACTAAATACCGCTAAGAACTATTCCCTGACGTTGATAACTTGCAAAAACACAAATTAGTTTTTTTCTCCAGGCACTGGCAGACACAGAAGAAATGAAGGAAAGAAAGAGCTTCCAACCCCTCCTCAACTCGCAACTAGAACAAGCAGCCACGTGCTCTGACGCAAAATGTATACCGTCAGTGTTCATTGTAGTCATGCACTCGGATATGGCAAAATATAGAACATGGGCTGAGCTTCAGACATTGTTAGAGTTCGGGGCTACTCTCATATTTGGTTGAACATGAACATGTTTGGCGATGATCATTGTCATGAACCAGAGCATTCGAGTGCGTCATGCTATACGTGACTCACGGTGCGAAGTCGTGATGTCATGTGACGTCACGCTGTCAACAACGCTAAGAAATATAGCGACGTTCTCAATTTAAATTGACGTGACGCAGTGAGTAACATGACGACATCATGTGACGTCACAGGACCATATGAGGTGACTTTGATTGACAGCATGCCTTGACACCATGACGTCACGTGACAGGTGACACATTATTAAAGTGACCATAAAACGATTTTGAAATCGAATTTCATCCACCTCACGTCCTAAAAGGTGTGAAACGAAAACCAAAATACAAAAATAAAGAGGCAATGGTTTATTTTCACAAAAGATGTTTTGAAAGAAAAGCGGACTCGTTTATATCTTCTTTCCTTCGGAAGATCTCTGCTTTTTCACTGCGATGCATCCGCGGTGCCAAACCACCTGAGCCAAATCCACGTCGGCCATTGGATAAAGGCCTACCTCACCAGCATTGCGATCACAAACAATAATTAGTCGGTGAATGTTATTTAGAAATTTTGTTAAAGAATAACCTGATCTAAATTTTTTAGCATAATCTGCGATGTGACGGAAATTGGCGACTTTTATAATGCTCGGAGCAATGCACCATCTATCGTGTGGTAAACGAAGCAAGAGAAAGCTAGACTGCGCCTCCGCCGGTCGCAGTTCCTGCTATCTGCTGAAAAAGAAAAAAAAAAAAAGAAAAAAGGCGTCGGTGGTGATTTTTTACGTGGTCAGCGTTGTGGAAGCTCATCGTTCCACGTAGACCGTTATCCTTGACTGAATTCTTGTCGTGTGTAGCGATGATAACTCAGCACGTGCTTGTACTCGTGCGAGTATTCGTGCGACGATGTTGTGGTGGCACCGTCGAGACAGCAGGAACGCTCGTGCCGTCGTGTTTGTTTACTTCGACTACAGTGGTGCTTTCTTAGCATTTGTGTCCTCGAACATCGCCTGAATTTCTTATTTTGCGCTTTTCATGTGTGTGCTCAAGTTAAAGGTATGACTGGTGCGTACTGTATCTAAACGCGTGTACGAAGAATGCGAATTTTGGCACGTCTTCATTACCGGAAAAAAGTGATTAGTGTTACCATTCCTGAACTCTCGCAACGTCTATGTCATCACGAAATCAATTTCTACGTTGCTATATTGCGGCTAAGATCACATCGTCTTTTGCAATCGTAGAAATGGCGTGTCGAGAATTTTACTATCGGTAAAACGGTGTGTTAAAGTCGTGATCGTCCAAGACGGCGTGAGGCATCTTTTTCTTTTTTCTCATCCAATCTGGCCTGCGAGCCCATCCTGACGAAGTAAAAATTAATAAGCTCGAGCCGATAAAAAGCTCTGTCCATTTTCTGCTACGCCAGTGAGTGGCATCGCGCCCCCTTCTTATTAGAGGCACCGCGGAAACAGCTGACGGTGGCGGTGAAAAAGTAAACAAAACTAACACAAAGTCGTCTCGGAATGCGTACAGCTTTTCTTTTTTATTTATTCTATGCAGCACAGGACAAAAGACTCGACTGTGGACTTTCCCTTTCCCATGGGCTCACGGCCCATGGGAAAGACAAAGTCGACCAATAGAATCATCGTCTGTGGCCCCGGCCAGCTAGACAGTGTCTACTGGCGGCGACCCTCTTTCGTGAAGAAAGCTATCGCCGCGACTGCTGCGGGACTGACGACAGAGGCTCTCGTTCACACATAGCGGTGACCTGTTAAGCAGGTCACCGCTAGGTGTCTACACATCGAGTGTTTCTGCGTTAGCGAGGTGGCTCTGTCGCTTGGCTCGGCTTGGCTTGGCTTGGCTGAAGAAGAGGGGGTGTTCGATGAGGCCGGAAAGGGTGAAGGCGGGTCGAGAGAGCCATGCACGAAAGGGTTGAAATACAACAGATGCTAAATGCGCTTTCCTCCGCGACGAAAAAGGAAAAACAAAAGTAGAAAAACGTCTGCCCTTCCTCCGGCACTTTGCTCCGACGGAAAACGTTTTGAGTGCTTGCTTTATTTATTTTGTCGTGTCTAAAGTGGGACCCAACCTCCACACATGGTCGAACCAGCTGTAGTGTTTGTTCACAAAACAGGGCTGATTTTTTTGTTGAAAGTATTTTTATCGCTGCAGATACTTTTCAGTTACTTAAAAAAAACGTATTTAAGTTATTGTCACGGCTAATTAAAAATGATATCGAAATGTAACGAGTTACAGTATAGTGAAAAAAGTGTCGCGACACTACCCAAAACTATTATTAAGCCACCTAAAAAAATGTGGGGTGTTAGTGTTCCTTAATTTAAGCATCCAATTTCAGAACACCAACATATTTCAGGCTAACTAATTTAAAACGGAAATGTTTTACGTTGGGACAGGTCTATTATATGTAGTTTCATTGAAACAAGCATCATGCATACAGGTTAAATGGAGAGTCACTGAAGTGCCGTTGTCGGAGTTTTTCTTGGATACTAGTTTGAATTGATTGACAGGCCGAGTAAACATCTTCAACCAGCGCTCGTTCTTGTAGTCATTAGAAGTAGAACTTGACGTTCTATCCCGACAGGATTACTTGCTCCTGTTTCTTGTGTGTGGTTAGTCTGTAACTGCCTGATAATTAATGTTTCATTGGTTCCTTCACAGACAACAATAATGCCTAGCAGCTTCGTTTGGTATGGGGTAAGTTTTCGTTGCAATTTCTGCAGCATTGAGAATTGATAAACACAAATTTGCAGCCTGTGTATTTATATAAGTACTTTTATGACCCGCGTTTGTGTATTAATACTCGTCGTGATAATATAAAATGCCAAAATGCACAGCCAATGATACCAAGTGGCCATATGTCCCTTAACGGTAGGCCACAAAGCAACACTGCGATTGCATGGTTCTGCATCATTTGCAATAGACTACTTCCATAAAGCCCGGCATGCAACACGGCGCGCGTTGCACTCTGGGGACTAGTTGGCCAGGGAGGAGGGTGGCATGGTTTCGGTTTCGATCGACACGTCAACAAGAGATTGTTTTCTGGTCCCGAGAGCGTCATTTGCTGTCTCTAAACTAACCTAAATGGCCAGACCTCGAAGCTTTAGCGCAAGCCTGAGACGTAGAGCTTGTCTTAGCACATGCTTGTTGTATTTTTGTACTTGAGCCTTCCTGTTAGCGTTTCAATCGACGTATGTGGACGAGCCACTGCTGGGAATCTCGACGCTGCGAAGCTCGGGGATCTTGCTTGTGTACGAATCAACAAGCTGCAGCAACCAATAAGTATGCGTACATCGAGCTCGCGCCTTTACATTAGTGTTGTTGATCAGGAAGTTTGTTTGTTTCGTGTGTCCACAGACGAAATATTACTTTTTGCAATTACTGTTTTTCTTAATATGCCTGAGTATGCGAGGTAAAACTCGGAGGCGCCATTGAAAAGCTCAATTTTAACACATTTCTTATTTCTTATCTGTACTGACCCGCAGGACCGCACGAAGTGAAGTCCGGACCCGCTTGCATTCCACTAATATTCAACATCGCGTATGCGCATAGAGTTATCCTGCAATCATATAGGCAAATTCGCACGTACAGACCGTTTTAAGAAAGCAAAAGTCGAGCACTTGTGGGAAGAATGTTGCACCGTTCGGTCTGAAGTGCGCCGGACGGACATGAATCCCTATGCGCACCGCATAGGGGTTCATGCCCGTCCGGCGCACAGTGCGACATTCTTCACACTAGTGTTCGAACGAATTCAAAGCGCGTTTGACGGTTGCTAATGGCCATAATATTTTTTATGAGTTTGTTTTCTTCCTGCCTGAGCATGCCGAGATAATTTCAGATACGTCGTTCAGACACAGATCTTGGGTGTCAGTAAACGCTCATGTAAAAAGGCTTAGCGAGGAGTATAGGGGACGCTTGTTAGGGCCTCCGTCGTAGCTAGCCAATCTCAGCGTTTGCGAGAAGGAACCTTCTATGAGCATAAAAATTGAGTGGGAGATATATGATGACACGAGGAAGACATCATAGTAACTTCTGTGCAGTAGTGAGGTCGAATTTACTGCGTTTCCTTAAAAGTTCACGCGTAAACGCTGGGCTCAACTTTGATACCCTGTGAAGATGCGGCTTGCTTTTCGCCCAATGAAGTAGCAAGAAACGGACATTTGGCAAACAAAATACGCGTAAGGCTCCAGATGAACAAATTTCAGTTCTAGTTCACTGGTACTAGACGGGATTATTGAAATTGAGCTCAAACATGCACCCGTGGGGTGAGGTGACTAAGCCACGACTTAACTACGTTCGCTTGCGCACGCACAATATCCGGTGTTTCGGGAACCAAGGAAAAAGCCCCGGTCTTCGTTTTGTATCGCTCGAGAATGAGTGTATTGTACGTTCGTGAAAAGTCACATAATCGAAAACGCAAGCAGCGCGTTCGGTCGCGGCGTGATAGCATGAGATGAAGCTGCTCAGTCGAAACCGAAACTGATTGGCCAACTAGTTCCCAGAGTGCACTGCGTGGTATTTCGCCGCGATGGGGCGCGTCGGTTTTGGAAGTAGTCCATTGGCGGTTCTGGAGTATTATTGGCTGCCAAGATACAATGCGATAATTGGGGGTTGTCCAGATGCTGTCGTTTTCAAGGTATAGGTTGAAAAGGCTGCGCTTTAAATAATATTGATTCTGAACCAATAAACTGAATAAACTGAATTAGTAAAATGAGAGACGCCACTGATGTTCCCCGTATAATTTATAATTTGTCCCTTTTTAGGTTTTATTATATTTGACCTTAACCAGTTGGTTTGATCAATAGTCGTGCATGAAATATGACAATCGCAACGAGTTGTGTAAAATAAGTGGCAAGTTAAAAAATAAACTTCTGAATTGCTCGAAAAATTGCCCACTATATTACTCTCTTAATTACAAAACAACAACTAGCATTGACTGGGTAATATTTTCCCACAACACGTACACTACATGACATTGAAAAGGAGACGAATCGAGCACCTGCCTTCTAAAGCCAAATTAACAAATGATATAGAAAATGCAAAACAAATAGTTATGCTTATTGTTTCCAATTATCTTTGCTAATTCTTACCACTAGAGTTACAATGTCACGTTGACCTTACAAAAAACAAATTGTTTTTCAGGACGGCGTATCGACGAAAGAATACAATGACCTAGCCGAGAAGGCTGGTATTGAGTGCACAGCAAAAATAACCGGCTGGAGCAGCGAATCCCGCCTTGTGGCTGCACCTTCCCAGGTGTGATATCAGCCATATGCTCACAAAGCATGCTGAGTATTGCTAAAATAAATGAAAAAGAAAAGACACGGCTACTGAGCAACACGTGCATTAAAAGTATAAAATGAATGTTTCTAGTATCTCTTCCCATACGAATAAAACTAAATCACAAATAAAACTCTTTTGTGTGGCAACGCTATGTTTGGTGAAGAATTTTAAAGCAAGCAGAATTTTTCATAAAACAGTTATAAAGAGAGCATTAGTAATAATATAATCAATAATTATAATAATAATGAATGTTAGGTTGTATAAACGGGGCAATAAATTAAACGCACACTAACGGTGCCATATGTGCTTGCATATGTACTTTTTCCTTTGTGTTGTTCGCCCACGTAACGACATTCTACGAATAAAGGTTATTCACAGGTTCATCTGCATAAACTCGTTTTAGCCACTATTATGTAACTTAAAGTAGATGTTTCCCGTGAAACGTTCGAACGCAATCAATTGTTCTCACAGTAGCGATTAAGAGAACATTATTTAAAAAAACTGTGAACTTGCTACATTGTAGACCAAGTTTAAGCAAATTAGTGGATATTTTCCTAAATGAGTTAGTCCTTGCTTAGAAGGAAACTATTATCTCGGAGCGCTGCATTACAACTGTCTAGCTGATACTGTTACCCACCGATGGTACCCCATTCTCGCCCTATTGAAAATTCCATCAAGCTACGTAATTTGGGACACTGACTGCCAGTCAGCAGCGTTGGTGGAACGTGATGGGCCATCAGACGTCATCTGATGGTCCATCAGATGACGTCTGACTGCCACTGCCAAGGGAATTTCATCAACAAGGGCAGCATTTATATAAGAGTAAAGCTATACGCACTCATAAATATCGCCAAATGCCTCGATAAAACAAAATGTTCGAGAAGGAAAAAAAGAAAAAGAACAGTACCACCGCGCATCGAACCGGCGACCACATGCGTACAAATCGGACATCTTAACCGCTATGCCAAGCCACCTTTCTTTTTTCTTTATTGCCGGACAAAAGCACAAGCACAGACACGACACACTAATACAACGTAAATATAAAAAAAAAAGCCAGTCAGCCTTTGGCTATCTTTGTACGGTTAAAACTTTTCCATCGTCAGGAGCCGTTCAATATGCTGCAGCCACTCAGGGACATATTGCTGGACCTTGCAAACTTCGACAAATGAAATAATATTTTCCCGAAAGTACTCCCTTGCCTCACGCGCATCTTTGTCAGCATGGCGCACTGCCATCCGAGATCTCCAGATGCCATGCAAACATAATAACATTACCAGATCGTACGGTACACCGCCCTCGTTTTCTACCGACAGGTACCTGATCCCGTGTGGATCTAGCGGTAACTCCTTTTTCAGGGTGCGTTGAAGGACGTCCCACAAGAAGACACCGTCCCAGCACTCCAGGAACACGTGTTCAACTGTCTCCGGCTTTTTACAGACAAAACAGTGGACCCCCCAGGGAACGAACAGGCCCTTCTCCTCCATCCAGATCTTTACTGGCAGAGTACCGGTGTGCAACTTAAAGAAAAGAGTCTTGACGCCAGGAGGCACTTGCATTCTTTTCACCCTTTTTAAGACGTCCAGGCCTCTTCCCGAGGAAAACAAAACTCTGTACATAGGCGCAGGGAAAACCACATCACAAACATCTTTATACAACCTTTTGCGTGTCACTTCGCTCAAATAGTCCAGAGAAAAACGGGCTGCTAAGAATCGGCATGACGCCACTAGCTCTTTGAAATACCCATGAATGCCGCCTGGCTCACTTGACGAAGATATTATAAACTCTGGCAGAGCCCGACCTAGCCTTACTTGGCATACGGTTCGCAAAAACGGATCACTTGTATCGCGAAAAAATATAAAACGATTTACTACCTGACGTAGAAACAAGTGCGACAAGCTTAGTCCACCCTCGCGCACACGACGAAAAAGATTAATTCTGCTCATTTTCTCCCAAGAGGAGCCCCAAATAAATACTGTGAAAACGCGGTGCAATTTCTGTACATTCACCCGAGAGCAGTTTAACACTTGCAACACGAACCACAGCTTGCTCACAAGAAACAAATTGCAAACTGTGGCACGTGCAAAAATAGAAAGCCCGCTCCCCTTCCACTTTTCCGCTTTGTCACGGAGCTCCAATACCTGTCTGCTCCAGTACGGCTCACTATCGCGGTAGTACTCCAGGGGCACACCTAAATACTTTACTGGAGTGCACACCCATTTTATAGTCGCGAAAACGCTCGGTGTTGAAAACCACTCCCCGTGCCAAAAACCTATACACTTGTCCCAGTTTACTGCGCTCCCACTGACGTTACAGAACCGTTTGATTATATTAACTGCTTCAACAATGCTTTCTTCGTTTGAACAAAACAAGGCAATATCATCCGCGTAGGCCAAAACGCGCACTTCGGATGAATGTAGCTTAAATCCACTTATTCTACTATTTCTAATAATACTTAAACAAAATGATTCTATGTATATACAAAAAAGGAGAGGGGATAAAGGACATCCTTGGCGCACTGAACGCTGCACCTGAATACGCTTTCCGACCGATTTATTTACTATTAGGCTAGTCGTACTGCCACTGTACGCCATTTTAACTCCTTCCCGTATAACAGATCCTACATTTACATGATCAAGGACGGCCAAAAGGACGTCATGTGGTACCCGATCAAAAGCTTTCTCAAGATCCACCTGAAGCATGGCAACGCGACTATGCATGGCATCCCAACACTCGAGGACACACCTCGCTGTGTGCGTATTTGTAAAACTTGTTCTTCCCTTTATCCCACATGTTTGGTGAGGACCAACTAGTTCGGTTATTACACTTTGCAACCTTCTTGCTAAAATTTTCATGAGGATTTTGTAGTCTACGTTGGTCAGACTGATGGGCCGATAGGATGTGACCTGCCTAAGTTTAGTGACATCTTCTGTCTTAGGAATTAAGACGGTATGAGCCGTTAGGAAAGAAGGCGGAAGAGTCTTTGCATCAAAAGCCTCGTTAAAAAGATTTACTAAAAAAGGAGCCAGCGTATTCTTGAGCGATTTATAAAACGCCGCACTGAGCCCGTCCGGTCCAGGGGACTTGCCGGGGTTCAAAGCTTCAATTGCCGTCTTAACTTCCTCATAAGTAATGGGTCCTTCTAAGATTGATTTTGTTTCGTCGCCGAGCCTCGGCATGAATGCCAAAAAATCGCTTTTAAAACCTTCTAGATTGACAGGATTGGAAGAAAATAATGCGCTGTAATAATCAAAAAAGGCCCTTTCGATTTCGGCGCCGTTGACGACCCCATCATGTTCTATTTCCGCAATCTCATTACGACGGGCGTACTTCTTTTCTATGCCTAGAGCTCGCTTTGTAGGCAACTCGCCCGCTATCAGCCTGTCGGCTCTAGCTCGCACAAGCGCGCCGCGATATCGGTCTCTATCTAACAGCTCGAGTTTTTCTTTCAAAAATAAAATATCGTCCTTAAAGACACCCGGCGATCGGCATTCTTCTTTTACTAGCGTCAGCAAGTTCGAGCGCATTGCCTTTTCCATTTTCTTTTCTTCGTTTTTAATGACGCTAGCTCTTTCAATGGCCATTATCTTTATGTTCTGTTTAAATATTTCCCATTTTGGCCCATGCCCAACTGATTTGTCCCCGTCTGTCATTCGTTCTATCGCTGCCTGAACTCGTCGCATGAAAATTTCATCTTGTAACAATTTTGCGTTTAATTTCCATAATTCCCAATTAAATAGTTTTTTAGAATCATTTTTACTTCGTAGGGAAAACTGAACCAGACAATGGTCGCTAAAGGACACTGGACTCACATGATAATCTTGACACAGGGGAACTAAATCCAAAGGCACATACACTCTGTCTAGACGGGCGTGACTGAGCCCTTGAAAGTGGGTAAATTTTAGAACTTGACCATTACGGATACAGTCGCCAACGTCCTGCAATCCAAACTCGTTAATTAAATCTTTTAAACATTCAGTACTCGCGTCTATGTATGGTGTAGAGCTTGTCTTGTCGCTTGCCGAGCACACACAATTAAAGTCCCCAAGCAGGATAACAAGTTGCGGACAGTTACAATAGTACTGAACGGCTTCAAAAAAGGCTCTTCTTTCCCCAACTCTGGTAGGCGCGTAAAAACAGATGATGCGCCATTCACTCGACGAAAAGGAAAAATCGCAAACCACGAGGCGCCCCGACTCACAAGCCGTAACGGCCTGGACTACTGCCCCTAGGCACTGGCGAACCAAAATGACACACCCCGCGGACGTCCCTACGGCTCGGCAGACGCAAACATTGTAGCGGGCCGTAAAAGGCCGCACCATGCGCTCAGTCTGGTCCTCTCCCTCGACCTTGGTCTCTTGTAGTGAAACAATATCGAGGTCGTGGTCTACGACTAGGCGGTACAGTTGCCTCTGCCTTCGACGGTCCGCGAGCCCTCGCACGTTGAGGGTCGCAAGTCGTACAGGCCTTTCGATAGAGATCATGAGCTATAGAAGGGCCAGACCAAGCGCGCGGCGCTTACCTTTCAAGATCATCGTCACACGGGGCAGTACGCTCGCACAGTGGCTTACTGAACCAGATTGTCGCAGTCCATCGGTCACGAAGGCGGCGGCTGGCTGTCCGAGCCTTTCCAGCCCTCCACCACCTTCCATTTCTTCTCTCGTTGTCGCTGCCGTCCGTCCTTGGAGGGCGCTGGGAAGTCCTCACGCGGGCGCTTAGCAGAGCCAGGCTCGGTGTCCACCTCTTCCTGGGTGGGTCCCCCCTCAGGAGCAGGAGCCGCGCCCGCCTGGGTTCTCCCAGGCGGTGTGGCCGACTGGGTCCCAGCTGCTTGCGGAGGGGACGAGGCCGCAGTTGACTGAGGCTCAACTGCCTGCGGAGGGGCAGGAGGAGTGGTCGACGGTTGCTGCGGTGACAGGGTGTTCCCCACTGTAGGGACGATGTCGGTCAAGTCGTCCACCTCCTTCGGCTGCTCGGTTGTGGTT